AGGTTTTTGTATGTTTATATGGAAATGGTTTAAAACAGAATTATAGTTTATCTGACTTGTTAAATTTATAATGGAAAAAGGTTTAAACATGTAATGGATAATGATGATTTGTGTGTTTTGAAAATTAATAAAACTTGTTTTAAAAAATTAAAAAAAAAAGAATGGAGACATGTTAAATCATATAAACACTATGAAGAGAATTTTTCAGGAACTACATGAAAAAGAACTTATCTTCACAGAACTCCATCAGGTTTATATAATTTTGTCTTCGTTAGATGAGAGTTATGACGATTATGTAACTTCACTGGAAGTACTGCCAAAAGATAACCTCACATTAACTGATATTACTGGCAGATTAATTGAAGAAGCCAGGAGAAGGCTTGAAAGGGATCAACTCAGAAGGGAACAACAACCACAAGAAGAGAAAGAATCTTCGACAGCCTATACAATTAGAAAATGTTTTAATTGTGGAGGAAAAGGACATTTGGCTAGATTCTGCAAGAAAGTAAAATGCAACAATGCCAGCCAGAATGCTAAAAGGCATCAAACGGATGAAAAATGCTTTGAGTTAGCCATGTATAGCAACGAAACTGTGAATAATAATTTATGGGTTGTAGATAGTGGAGCATCGCACTGCATAACGAAAGATAAGAAAAGATTTATTAAGATGTCCACGAGTTCACAGCAGATATTGTTAGCTAATGGTTGGAAAATGAAAGCAAAAGGTGAAGGTATTGCACATTGTTCTTGCATAAAAGAAAATGTAAAAATGTTATATGTACCACAACTTAAGTTTAATTTGCTTTCGGTTAGAGTTTTGGTTAAACTAGGTTATGTAGTTACCTTTAGGGGAGAAAACTGCATAATAGAAAAGGAAGGTAAAAAAGTGACTGCAACTTTAAAAGGTGAATTGTATGTGTTAAATGAGAATTCATTAGAGGTAGCTAACACAGTTTATAATAATGTTAAACCTCATGATGAATGCATACATTTGTTACACAGACGTTTAGGGCATGTAAATTTTAAAATGCTCAAACAAACGGTTGAACTGTCTGAAGGTATAAAACTGAAGCCTTGCAGTAAGTATTTGCACTGCAATGCTTGTAGTCAAGAAAAAAGCAAGGTAATACCAGCAAATAGAATAAATGGATTTAAGACAAAGGAACCTCTAGAGGTCGTATTTGCTGATATTATAGGTCCTAAAAAACCAAGTGTGGGAGGTGCTCGTTATATACTAAGTATAATGGATCATTATTCTAGATATGGTTTCTGTTATTTAATGAAGAGTAAAACGGAAACATATCAGAATTTCTTTAATTGGTTGAAGTTTGCAGAAAGAAAAACTAAAAGGAAACTAGAAACTCTTGTAACTGATAATGGTACGGAATTTATAAATAATAAATTCCAAAATAGACTGAAGATGGCAGGTGTTGAACATAAAAAGTCTGCACCATATAGGCCACAACATAATTCCTTTATAGAAAGATGAGGCGAAACAATACAGGCAATGGCTCGTACTATGTTGTCGGATTCAGGATTACCTGAAACTTTGTGGGGAGAAGCAATAATGTGTGGTAATCATATATTAAATAATGTTGTTAACTCAACAACAGGTGAATTACCATTCACACGGTGGCATGGTAGAAAACCTGACCTAAGCTACATGCACACATTTGGAGCACCAGCATGGGTGCATATTCCTACACAACTGAGACACAAGGGGCAGCATAGGGCTAAAAAGTTATTCTTTGTAGGTTATGAATCTAATCACAAATCATACAGATTCTGGGAAAACGGTACACCTAGAGTTTACTGTAGTGCTAGTGCACAATTCCTTGAACATGTAGGATGGGAAAAACTGGAACAAGATTCAAGTAAGGAAGTAATCATAGAAACCTACAAAAGACCAAAATCACATATCAGTAATAAGAAGAGTACAATTAAAGAGGAAGTACAGGAAGAGCACATAGGACCAGAAGAGGAAGAAATAGGTGAACAGGAAGAAATAGATAACCAGGAACAGGTAGTACATGAAAGTCCACCTGTAAGTCCTGTAATACCTAGACGGTCAACACGTGAAACCAGACCACCTGACAGGTACCAAGCAAGTGTAGTTTGCCAAGTTAGTAAAGTTCCAACTACTGTTGAAGAACTTAGAATGTATCCAGCAAAGGAACAAGAAAATTGGCAAAGTGCAATGGAGAAAGAATTAAATTCATTAAAACAAATGGAAGTTTATGAAAATGTTAAATTACCTCCAGGTGAAAAGTCCATTGGCTGTAAATGGATATTTAAATTAAAAACAGGTAAAAATGGGACTGTTACCCATAAGGCTAGGTTGGTAGCTCAAGGATTTAATCAAACTGCATGTGATTATGATGAAGTATTTGCACCGAGTCTAAAGGCAACAACCTTGAGAGCAGCTTTAGTGTGAGCAGCTAAGAAGAATTATATTATAAATCACTTAGATGTAGAAACTGCCTATCTGCATGCACCATTGCAGCACACTATATACTTAAAGAAACCTGTAGAAATTAAGGATGATAAAAATAATAATGACTGTTGGAAACTTAAAAAGAGTCTCTATGGATTAAAACAATCTGGTTACGAATGGAACCAATATATTGTTAAGGAGTTAAACAATATAGGGTTTAAAGCAGGTTTAGCTGATCCATGTGTATTTAAGAGAGAGACAAATGGAATAGTGTCATTATTATTGTTGTTTACAGATGATATTGCCTTAATTACAAAACCTAATAATGAAGCTACTGAAATAATATCATTATTAGGTAAGAGGATAAAATTAAAGCAATTAGGAGAGATAAAACAGTATCTAGGATTGACAATAAATAAAACCAAAAGTGGCTATAAGATATCTCAAGAGGATAAGATTTATCAATTACTAAAAACATACAAGATGGAACTTTGTAAACCGGCTAAAACTCCAATGAGTCAGGAATTTGGCCACACTGATGCTCAAAGTTCAAAATTCGATAAGACTATTTATCAATCACTAATTGGTAGTTTATCGTACATTAGTAATTGGTCAAGGCCAGATATTGCCTATGGCGTTAATCAATTGGCAAGATTCAACGCTGAACCCACTGAACAACACTGGCAAGCAACAAAGCGTATATTAAGGTATCTTAAAAGGACAATGCACTATGCATTGTATTTGGAGCCAAAAGATGATCTGATTTTAAGTGCATATGCTGATGCAAGTTTTGCAACAGACATAAACACTAGGAAATCAACTTCAGGTACGGCTATACTATTAGGAAAAGCACTGATTGGTTGGAGGTCAATTAGACAGCAACACATAAGTATGTCCACAATGGAAGCAGAATTTTCATGTCTATCTTTATTATGTACTGATTTAATTCTGTATAAACAGTTGTTATTAGATATGGGAATAACTGTTAATGATTCCATTGTAGTTTATGAGGACAATCAAGCAGCCATACGGTTGGCTACAAATATTGCTGTGAAAATGAGATCTAAGCATACAGATCTTAGATATCTGAATGTAAGACAATCTGTAAAAAATGGTTTGATAAGATTGGAATATTGCATGACTGAAGAAAATATAGCCGATCAATTTACAAAAGCCCAAGGTTCAGTCAAACATAAAGAAAGTTGTGACAACTATGGTTTAAGAATGTAAATAGATATATATATTATTATATTACCCAAAAGGGGAGTATGTTAGGAATAACATAGGTTACCTAACATAGTTTGGGTAAAATAATATATATAAACTATGATAGTGAGTTTATGTGTGTGTCACTTTAACTGCAAAGCATGTAATTTTGGGTGCGGCTGTAAATCGCCATAAGAGGGAGCAAGAGAACTTGATTGATTGCTGGCTTACTGATTTGCTTGCTGACGATGATGGATTGATGGTGTGATAACTGGGTGTTCTTTGCTGTTGCTGAAGGAAGAAAAGAGGTTTTACTTTTTCATATCTCTACTGCAAAGAGATATATTACTGGACTGATATTAGTAAGTTTAATGACCTCTTTTTCGACACTGGACTTTGCAACTGATTAATCCCCGGATGGACTGAACTAGTGTATGATGTATGGACTGTTTGACTATGCTATAAATCTTACTGGAATAAACTATTTAACTAGCACATTGTATCTGTTTTACTGAGTGTAAGCTACAAAAAAGCTTGTCTCACATATTTGCCTGCCTGCCTGACTGCCGTGCAGGTTCTGCTAGGGTGTATATCCCTAACACATTCTTTCAATACAAACAAAGCTCAGCCCCAGTGAAGATTTCCATTGTTTAATTCCAATTTAAATATATTTGAAGTAGATTTTTAATACATTTTCATTTTGGATCTGAAAGCATACATTGATTTTAAGTAGGTTTTAAAACTCATCATTATTTTAAACCTCAAAGCATAATCCCACAACTTGGTTATACATTCTTCCCAGGTAGGCGTCAAACATCTTTTTCAGGAAGCATATAGCACAGCACTTATCTTACACAGAAGTAGTCAAAACGACTTTGAAGGAGTATATGATTTTCTTAAAATTAATACTTTTGCTTGGTTGAGAATTTATTTCAAAATTTGCAGCTTGCAGAGGAAGCAGGGCACGAGTATTACAATCTATATATAGCTAAAGAAAGAACATTAACTATCCCATTATCCTTTAACATCCAAAGGGGCCATACACAATCTAGTAAAATTCTGTATTTATATATGGAAAATCTTTCACATTTGGGCATTTAATATATTGGACATATGTCAATCAAAATTTAATTCATGTAATCTTCATCCATATTAAACTAGACAGGACACATGCATTCTCTGATCTTAAAACAGATATCCTTTTAAATACTTCTTTTCACCATATCATATTTTGTGTATGAATGAAGATAAAACAAGGTCAGAGAGATCTTTCTAAATTAATTCAAATTATATTAATATTCAAAAAACACTTCATGAATATTCTAAAGATATTTCATTAAAAGTGAACACAAAAAGATAGTTACATTTCTTTCCTTATTAAATATTCCTTCTTGTTCATCTCAGGCCTCAATAAAATGATGTAGCATTTGGGGCAAAATATACACCCCAGTAAACCAGCACTGGAGCATAAGATAGAGAAGATCTCCACAGCTACCATGTATTTCCCTTTGGTGCTCAGGTAGGTTGCAACAAATGACAACCAAACGCTGCAAAAGACCAACATGCTGAAAGTGATAAACTTGGCCTCATTGAAACTGCTAGGCAGCTTCCTGGCTTGAAAAGCAACGTTAAAGCTGACAATGGACAAGAACCCCATGTAACCCAGAACACAGTAAAACATGATCACCGAGCCTTCATTGCATTCCATTATGATTTGTTCCTTCAGTGAGTGGAGGTCTGTATCTGGGAAAGGGGGAGAGATACTCAGCCAAACAATGCAAATTCCCACCTGGATGAAAGAACCCAAAAGGACAATAGAATTGGACAGTCCTTTCCCTACCCATTTCCTCATTGCAGAGCCTGGTTTGGTTGCCATGAATGCCAGAATCACAGTCATGGTTTTTGCCAATACAGATGAAAGGGCCACTGAGAAGATAATGCCAAAAGTCATTTGCCGGAGAAGGCAGGTCATCTTTTCAGGTCTTCCCATGAAGAGGAAAGAACAGAGGAAGCAGAGAAGAAGGGAGAGAAGGAGGATACAAGTGAGGTTCCAGTTGTTGGCTTTAACAATTGGAGTCTCTTTATGCATCCAAAAGATTCTCACCACAAGGATTGTAATCAAAGAGAAAATAGTAGCCAATGTAACAAAGAGGATTCCTAAAGGTTCATAATAAGACAGATAGGTAAACACTTTGGGAATACATTGAGTTTGGATGTTGCTTGGATATTCATCTTCTGGACATTTCATGCAGACATCTATATCTGCAAAAAGGAAAAACAAAGTTATATTTCCAATATACAAAATTTTATATCAGTCTAGAAAATATAGAGTACAATTGATTTTAATACATTGCCTGTTTTCTGAAGAGTGGATAGCATTTTTTAAATTCAAAAACATACATCAGTCTCAATTTAACCCTGAGATCCTTCATTATGCACAGAGGGCATTGACTGAAAATCAAAAGCAAATAAAAGTATTATCTCTGCTCTGTTCATTTGTAAAATGAGGAGGTTACTAATAGATCTTCAAGTGCCATTTCACTGTGGACAAGTAATAATTGCAGTTTCAGAGACAACTAGGTTTGTAGAAATAAATATTATAAATACTTGATACTAATTGATCAATTTGATAAGATATTTTAAGGAATGGGTGGGACAAGAAATTGGAGATCCATATTTTGTCTAAACAATGGAAATTAATCTGAACAACCAAATTTAAAAATTTTAATGGAACAAAATTATTTTTATTAGATAAAAGGGTATTTTTACTAGAAAAGACTAAATTCTCATGTTATTGAATATGTGAAGAGCATAATGCACTGGAGAAGGAAATGACAACCCACTCCAGTATCTTTGCCATGAAAACCCCATGGACAGTACCAGAAGGCAAAAAGATATGATGCTGGAAGATGAGTCCCTCAGGTTGGAAGGTGTCCAATATGCCACTGGAGAAGAACAGAGGGCTAGTATTAGTAGTGCCAGAAAGAGTGAAGTAACTGGGCCAAAGCTGAAAGGACACTCAGCTATGGATGCATCTGGTGGTGAAAGGAAAGTCCAATGCTGTAAAGATCTATTCTCCATAGGAACCTGGAATGTAAGGTCCATGAATCAAGGCAAGCTGGATGTAGTCAAACAAGAGATGACAAGACTGAACATCATTATATTAGGAATCAGCGAATTCAATTGGACAGGAATGGGTGAATTTAATTCAGATGACCATCAGGTACACTAATGCAGGCAAAAATCCCTCAGAAGAAATGGAATAACCTTCATAGTAAATAAAAGAGTAGGAAAAGCAATACTGGGATACAATCCCCAAAATGACAGAATTATCTCAGTTCAAGTCCAAGGCAAATCATTCAATATCACAGTAGCCCAAGTCTATGCCCCAAACCACTGGTGCTGAAGAGGATGAAATTGACCAGTTCTATGAAATCCTACAGCACCTTATAGAATTAACACCCAAAAATGATGTCCTTATCATCATGAAGGATTGGAATGCTAAGTAGGAAGCCAAAAGGTAACCGGAATAACAGGCAAGTTTGGCCTTGGTGTACAAAATGAAGCAGGCACAGGCTTAGAGAATTTTGTCAAGAGAATATGATGGTCATAGCAAACAATCTTTTCCAACAACCCAAGAGACAGCTCTACACATGGACATCACCAGTCAACACAGAAATCAGATTGACTATGTGCTCTGCAGCCAAAGATGGAGAAGCTCTATACACTCAGTAAAAACAAGACCAGGAGCTGACTGTGCCTCAAATCATGAGCTTCTCATTGCAAAATTTAGGCTTAAATTGAGAAAAGTAGGGAAAAGCTTAGGCCACTCAGGCATGAACTAAATCATATCCCTGATGAATATATTGTGGAGGTGACAAATAGATTTAAGAAATAAGATCAGACTGCCTGAAAAACTATGGATGGAGATTTGCAACATTGTATAAGAGGTAACAACTAAAACCATCCCAAGTGTTGTAGAGCGGCGGAAATAACCTGAGGCGAACACAGAGCGAACTTCAGCTTTACTTTATTGTAACAATAAAGGGTTGCCGTGGCTGCCGCACTAACAAGGCAGCCAGCTGGTGGACAACAGCTGATGCCATTTGACAGCTCCCTTTTATAGCCAGCTGTCAAACGGCATCAGCCAATAGGAACGGACTGTGTTCCCGCTGGAAACACGGACCGGAGTGAAGACTTCAGCTCAGTCTTTTCCGAACGCCACACTTTCCCCCAGAATGGAGCATGCGTAGTCCTTCAGATAACTCGGGCGCTTGCGCAGGCGGCCAGATCTTCTAGGTTCTGCTGGAAGGAACTTTTCTGCTTGTTGGGCAACTTCTGGTGCCGACAAAACTGGCGTCTCAGCTTCAGGCATCTCTGGGTGAGGGACAGATGGCTGCTCAGGTAGGCTTGCATTCCTGTCAGATTCACGGGAAGTTTCTTTGGGCACCAGTGGTTTCTCTGTTGCAGGAACCTCTTGAGCGCCATCTGCAGACGAACTCCAACGCCTTCTAAGTTGATCGATATGGCGGTGCCAGATGCACCCGTCTTGCAGTCGGACCCTGTAAGACTTAGGACTGGTTACCACCACAATCTGCCCAGGCATCCACAAAGGGTGTCCCGCATAATTCCAGGCATAGACCTGGTCATTTTCAGCGAACTCCCTTGCCTGGCTATTTGATCCTAGGGGCGTGACTGGGGCATAATATGGATGGAGTCTGTCTAAAGTAGTCCTCAGATGTCTACCCATGAGAAGTTCAGCCGGGGACCTATTAGTGGTGGCACAGGGAGTCGTGTGCTGGGTTAGAAGATACTTAGCAAGCCTAGAGTGCCAATTTATGGGCCCAAGCCTTTCCAGGACCTCCTTAGCAGATCTGATTGCTCTTTCAACCAGGCCATTACTGGCAGGATGGAAAGGAGCTGTACGTGCGTGCCTGATTCCCAGGTTAGCTAGGAAGACCTCAAACTCACAGGAAGTAAACTGGGGGCCGTTATCAGACACGTTAGTGTCAGGGAGGACATGGGTAGCTAATATCCTTGATAGAGCCTTAGTGACGGCTTCTGAAGTTGTGGTGGTCATCAAGGTCAGCTCTGCCCATTTAGAAAAAGAGTCAACTATCACCAGGAATGTACACCCATGAAAGGGGGCAGCCAGATCAATATGCACCCGGGACCAAGGGGTCCCAGAATCTTCCCACCTGCCTGGTGTGGATGTGGGTGGAGCAGGTCTGGTAACTTGGCATGGCTGACAAGCATTCACCCAACTTGTAATCTGAGCATCCATGCCCGGCCACCATACATATCTGCGATCTAGGGCTTTCATTCTGACAATGCCGGGATGCCCTTCATGCAGGACCTTTAAAACTGAGGCTTTCAACTTGGAAGGGATAACTACCCCAGTTCCCCAAAGTAAAAAGCCTTGCAAAGAAGACAGTTCTTGCTGGCGAGTTTTGAAAGGCCCAAATTTGGGGGCATAAGGAATTGCAGGCCACCCCCTTCCCACCCAGTCAAGGACTTGGGCGATTACCTTGTCCCTGGCAGAGTGGGCAGTGATATCAAGGGCGGTGATGGAAAGTTTGAGATCGTTGATCAGGAACACAGCATTAGTTGGTGCAGGAACCTCCACAGGAACAGGCAGGGGGCAGCGACTAAGAGCATCAGCGTGGCAGAGACTCTTGCCAGCTCGATGAACCAGTGTATAGGAATAGGCAGCCAGAAATAAAGTCCACCTGGTCATCCTTGGAGACAAAATCTGAGGAGTTTGTCTATCGCCTGACAGAAGGCCTAACAGAGGCTTGTGATCCGTAACCAACTCGAAATAGTGTCCATATAGAAACTCATGGAATTTTTTGACAGAAGCAACTGCAGCCAAAGCCTCCTTGTCAATTTGGCTGTAGTTGCGCTCAGCTGGGGAAAAAGTTCTGGAGAAAAAGGCAATGGGTGCCTCATAACCATTAGGCAGTCTATGACTTAAAACGGCACCTATGCCAAAAGGAGAAGCATCTGCTACTAAAACTAAAGGTAAATGCTCATTAAATTGGATCAGAACAGCATCGGATGTGAGCAATGATTTGACTGCATGGAAAGCATGGGCTTCCTTAAGTCCCCAGTGCCAGGGGGATTGCTTATCCAAGAGTCTGTGTAGAGGCTCTGCAACGGAAGCTTTATGTGGCAAAAATGAAGCGTAAAAGTTAAGAAGTCCTAAAAAGGCCTGGAGCTCAGTTCTGTTAGTTGGTGTGGGTGCCTCGTGAATAGGCCTTACTTTGGATTTGATTGGGTGAAAACCAGAGGTGTCAATTCTGTATCCCAAAAATTCTACCTGTGGGGTAGCAATAGTGCACTTCTCTTTTTTTAGCTTAAGACCATGCTTCCTGAAACGATCAAGGACTCCTCTGACTCTTTGCAGTAATTGAGACTTGTCAGGGGCAGATATTAAAATGTTGTCAAAATACAGAATTACACGTGGTAATCCTTGAAGAAGTCTTTCCATTAAAGATTGTTAAATCCCTGGGGCCACACTTATGCCAAATTGGAGGTGCCTACATTTAAAAGCGCCACTGTGCGTTACAATAGTTTGTAGTTCAACGGCTGTGTCATCAACAGGGAACTGTTGATAGGCCTGTGACATGTCTAATTTCACGAAAGTGGTTCCTGGCTCAAAAGAATGTAGTAGGTGCTGGATAACAGGGACTGGATAAGCACTGATTTGTAAATATTTAATCAATGACATCTTGTAATCTGCGCAGATTCTTATGCTACCATCTTTCTTCAGGGGTGTCACTATTGGGGTTTCCAATTTTGCGAAGTCCACAGGCTCTAATACACCCTGTTTAATTAATTTGTCAAGCTCCATGTCTAATTTGGGGCAGATTGCAAAAGATACCCTTCGAGGCTTTAAATGGATTGGTACTGCCTGAGGGTCCAAGTTGAAAGATATTGGGGTTCCTGAATAACAGCCCAGCCCCTTGCTAAACACATCAGCATAGTCATTAAACAAGGTGTCCACTTCAGCATTTGTAATAGAGTGGATTCCGCTTATATGGAGGCCAAGGGCAGGGAACCAGTCTAACCCCAACAGGCTAGGGAGGGCACCATCCACTACCACTAAAGGCAAGTGACCTTTAAAATTTTGAAATTAAACAAAAAACTTGCCTTTTCTGATGACTGGGATGGTTCTGCCTTGGTAGACATGTAGGGTTAACTGGCAGCCGTGAAGCTTCTTCTTAGCCATTCTGGGAAGTAGTTGTTTCAAACTGTTCCATGAGATGATGGACAGTGCTGAGCCTGTGTCAACTTCCATCCTGCAAGGTTTCTCGTCTATAGAAACAAAAACACTGATTTTGTTAGAGCCTTTGTTAGTCAGCTTGGCTTGATAGCAGGTAAAACAGTCTTCAGCTTGTTTTTGGAAATGTTGGGTTGTCTGAGGCTTTTGGGCAAAAGTCTTTCCTGCTTGACAGATACTGGCTAAATGACCCTTCCTCTGGCATTTTAGACAAATGGCATTCCTGAACTTGCAGGATGCCCTGAGGTGGTTTCCCCCACAGCTTAGACAAATGGGCTGAGGCCGTGGAGGTAGATTGGGGTTTGGCCTGTTCTCCCTTTGACTGGTTTTTTGCTGCCTGAGGTGATTTACATCATTAGCCTCTTCATAGCCTTCTTCTGTGGAGGCTTCATCTTAATGGATGGCTGAGCTGCTCTGGCTAATTGGATTTCCCTGAAATTCTGCTGCTGAAAGTGCTGATAGTTCAGCAGCTTGAGACTCTTCAATTGCTAATTTAAGGGTTAAATCCCCTTTAGCCAATAGACGCCTTTGTAGCCTTAAATCCCTGACTCCACAAACTATTTGGTCTAATAACATGTCTTCCAGATAGTCTCTAAACCCACAATGCAAGGCAGCTGTTCATAGGGCAGCCATGTACCCACTAATAGTCTCTCCCTCAGCCTGAATCTGTCCTAAAAGCATGATGCCTGGCAATTCGGGATGGCTTAGGGGAATAGTGGTTGGAAAGAATTTCCTGCAATTCTTCCCATGGAACAGTCTTAATTGAATGTTGAGCCAATAATGCCGTAGCAGTGTCAAACACTGTGGCTCCGCAAAAACTTAAAAAGTAGGACTTTTTCCTATGGTCGGAAATGTCAGCAAGGTCAAATCAGTTTCTGTAGGATTCCCATGTTTCTGCTGTCAGTCTGAAAGGTGGCAATGCAGGGTTCGAAGTCATCTTGACTCAGCGGTGCCGGAACTTCCGAGGACAGTTGAAATTCGTGCTCGTGAATAGTGACAGTAAGCTCTTAAAGTGACATTCAGCTTGGTAGTGACTTCGACTCTTTTTTGTAGTGACTTCGCTTAGCGATTCTTTGCCCGGTTTCCTCTTATATGTATCCCGCTCTCGTCGCCAGTGTTGTAGAGCGGTGGAATAACCTGAGGCGAACACGGAGCGAACTTCAGCTTTACTTTATTGTAACAATAAAGGGCTGCCGCGCTAACAAGGCAGCCAGCTGGTGGACAACAGCTGATGCCGTTTGACAGCTCCCTTTTAAAGCCGGCTCTCAAATTGCATGAGCCAATAGGAACGGTCCGTGTTCCCGCTGGAAACACGGACTGGAGTGAAGACTTCAGCAAAGTCTTTTCCGAACGCCACACCAAGGAAAAAGAAACAAGCAAGCAAAATGCCTGTCTGAAGAAGCTTTGCAAATAGCTAAGGAAAGAAGGGACATGAAAGGCAAGGGAGAAAGAGAAAGATACACCCAATTTAATGCAGAATTTCAGAGAAGAGCTAGAAGAGATAAGAATGTCTTCTTAAATGAATAGTGCAAAGAAATACAAAAAAACAATAGAATAGGGAGAACCAGAGATCTCTTCAAGAAAATTGGAGATATGAAGGGAATGTTTGATGCAAAGATGGGCATGATAAAGGATCAAAATGGCAAGGACCTAACAGAGGCAGAAGAGATTAAGAAGAGTTGACAAAATTACACAGAAGAACTACACAAGAATGAGCTTAACGTCCCTGATAACCATGTTGGTGTGGTCACTGACCTCGAGCCAGACATCCTAGAATGTGAAGTGACATGGGCCTTAGGAAATCTGAGCAACAACAAAGCTATTGGAAGTGACAGTATTCCAGCTGATCTATTCAAAATCTTAAAAGATGATGCAGTAAAAGTGCTACACTCAATTTACCAGCAAATTTGGAAAAACTCAACAGTGGCCACAGGATTGGACAAGGTCAGTTTACATTCCAATTCCAAAGAAAGGCAATGCCAAAGAATGTTCAAACTATTGCACCACTGCACTCATTTCACATTTTTATGCTTAAAATCCTACAAGCTAGACTCCAGCAGTATGTGGATCGAGAAATACAGGCAGGATTTCAAAAAGGCAGAGGAACTAGAGATCAAATTGCTAACATATACTAGATCATGGAGAAAGCTACGGAGTTCCAGAAAAAAACATTTACTTCTGCTTCATTGACTATGCTAAAGCCTTTGATTATGTGGATCACAACAAATTGTGGCAAATTGTAAAAGAAATGGGAGTAATAGACCATCTTATTTGTCTCTTGAGAAACCTATATGCGGGTCAAGAAGCAACAGTGAGAACTGGACATGGAACGAATGATTGGTTCAAAATTGGGAAAAGAGTCCAGCAAGGCTATATACTGTTGCCTTGCCTATTTAACTTATATGCAGAGCACATCATGAGAAAAGCAGGAGTAGATAAATCCAAAATTGGAATTAAGATTGCTGGAAGAAATATCAACACCCTCAGATATGCAGATGATATCACTCTAATGGCAGAAAGTGAAGAGGAACTAAAGAGCCTCTTGATGTGGGTGAAGGAGAGTGCAGTAGTTGGCTTGAAACTCAACATTTAGAAAACTAAGATCATAGCAACTGGCAATTCCTGGCAAATAGATGAGGAAGAAATGGAGGTAGTGACAGATTTTATATTCCTGGGCTCCAAGATCACCACAGATGGAGACTGTAGCCAAGAAATTAAAAGATGCTTGCTCCTGGGGAATAAAGCTATGGCAAATCTAGACAGCATACAAAAAGCAGAGACATCACCCTGCCACCAAAACTGCATATAGTCAAGACTATAATTTTCCCAGTTGCAATGTAGGATTGTGAAAGTTGGACCATAAGAAAGGTTGAGCGCCAAAGAATTGAGGCCTTTGAACTATGATGCTGGAGAAGACTCCTGCAAGTCCCTTGGACTGCAAGGCAATCATACTGGCCAGCCTAGAGGAGAACAACCCTGATGACTCTTTAGAAGGCCAGAACCTGAAGTTGAAACTCAAATATTTTGGCCACATAATGAGAAGGAAGACTCACTGGAGAAGAGTCTAATGCTGGGAAAGATTTAGGACACTAGAAGAAGGGGATGAAGGAGAATGAGGTGGCTGGATGGAGTCACTAAAGCAGTAGGCGTGAAATTAAATGGACTCCAAAAGATTGTGGAGGACAGGAAGGCCTGGAAGAACGTTGTCCATGGGGTCACGATGGGTCGGATATGACTTTGCAATTAACAAAAAAAAGAGAGAATAATACTTTACTTAATTTTAATTTTAATGGATCAAAATACTTTTATTAGATAAAGTATTTTACTAGAAAAGACTAAATTCTCATATTATTGCATATTTAAAGAGAATAATAATTCACTTAATTATATTTTATCACCTTACATATTGATTTGTTCTTTGTATTAATTTGATCATGAGACAGAAGTTAATATTTTCAGTTAAATATATATTTGTAAATACAACTCTGTTAAATGAAAAGTGATAACTAAAGAATGCAAATCAGTTCCACATTCTTTTCTTTTTGCTGAAAGATTAATTCTTCAGCAGTGAATGAATAAATATATAGCCCAGATTACTCAGTTCATTTAATACCTTGGCCTATGAATTACTTTAAAATTTATGTATGCATTGCTGATTACCCCACAATATTATAAATATTATATTATATTTTGTTTAACATTTTAGATACATATACAATAGACCTCAATTTATGATTACAATAGTGCCCTAAATTTCTGTTGTTAAATGAAACAGCTGTTAACTTAGTTTTGCCCCATTTTACAACCTTTCTTGCCAGTTGTTATGACATCCCAACCACCACAAATTTGAGTCAGTTGAGGGTATTAAAATTGGACATAACTCCCTTTTTTCATTGCCATTGTAATTTCAAACAGTCAATAAATAAACCACTTTTAAACATGCATAGAAGGAGATAAAAGACAGAGCAAGGTAAAGAGAGACAGAGTGACAGAAGAGATTTTTCCCCTTTTTTCTTTTGTTTTTACTGTTATTCATATGATTCTCTTTAAATAAATCAGGACATTGGACTGGATTTTTGCTGCCTGGTTAGCCAAAGTCCTCACATCTTTTTCTCCTACCTATTTCATCAGAGATCCGTCCTTCTGAACAGGGCACACAATCATAGCAACAAAATTTCTCTCCTTCCTTCTTCTTTCTGCTGGAGCCAGGATAGCAGTGATCATTGCACTGAGAAAGAGGAAGCACCTGAGCAGTAATATGTAAGAGAGAATCAGAGGATAAAATATTTGCATTAATTGAGCTTTCCCAAACAGGAACTACAACCAGGATGAAGAAGCTGAAGAAAATAAAAAGGAGGAAGCTTGAGTTAATGGGAAGAAATCGGCACTGACTTTTTTGGATGTTCTAGCAGAGGGCCTGGAAGGGCAGAAAGTTCTGTCTTCCACAGGACCTCACACATCTTCAAATTATTCTTAATGAATACTTTAGTTAATACTTTTCCTGAACATGATCAAATATAATACAGGTTCTTTTGGGGCCAGAATGTTTAAAAACCGAATGCAGCACTACAGATGGTCCCTGACTTACAATCACGGGGGGGTGCAGAATTTTATTCATAAGATGTTGCTCTTGAAAGTCAGGATACTATGTGAAAAATTAGATTTTGCAACTGTTTTTACAATGGCAGTAAAGAGATCTATTGCTATTTTTTCAATCACCTGTTCATTCTGAAATCAATTCCACCGAAAGCACTTTTTTTTCTGGAAACTAGTTAAAAACTCTTCAACTCATGGTCAGGTGACCTTTGGAAACTACAGCTGTTCATTAATCTGAGTCAGTTGCCATGTGCCCAAGGTAGGCAACAGCAGGTCTACAAAATTACTTTTCAGTCCATTTTAAATTTGAAAGATTGTTAAGTGACCAATCATAAGTCTAGAACTATCTGTACTTACATTGGTAATCTGTGCATCCCAAGCACAACTGGCAATATTTGCTGTAAACCTACCATAGACACATCAATGCTCAATAGTTTGAATTCAATTTATGGAATACAAATTAAAGAACTTTTTTCCAACAGTGACCACAACATGATTGACTTTTGTCTCAACATATGTCCACACAAAAATCATTACAATGATGGAATCCCCAATTATAACTTTAAAAAAAGCAACTATGATATTATAAACAATGATCTCTCATCCCTTGATTGGCAATTTCTATTCACTGGATGCAATACTGTAGAAGACCATTACAACATATTTTTACTTCGTCAAAAGAATCATCAAACTTTATGGACCATTAACAACTCCCAAAACCAGAAAAAAACAAATTACCCATAACAATAAGGAAGCTGAATCCAAAAAGAAATCTCTTTAGTGGAAAAACAAATCTGGTCATGTTGCCAACCTCAAAAGCCGATACAAAAATTTATGCCACCAGATAAAGACTGAATGCACCAATTATCACATTAAACAAGAAGAAAACCCTCTACGCACCAATTCCACCCACGCTTTCTACAATTTTGTAAACAACAAACTAAAAGACTCAACGTCCATCCCAACCCTGAAGGAACCTAATGATAAAGACTGCAATGATGACACGATTAAAGCCAACCTCTTTAACACATTCTTTGGCTCAGTATTTGTAAACAGCAATGGATCATGCCCAGTATTTCCTAGTCAAACCACAGACAACTACAATGATCTAATAGGTATCGATTTTACAGAAGACGATGTTGAAAAACCACCACGCAATCTAAAACCATCTCTATCTATTGGACCGGACGGAATATGTGCATACTTCTTTAAAAAGCTATCCACTGCCATAGCAGAACCTCTAAGCATAATCTTTGAAAAATCTTTTAGGACCAGCTCCTTGCCAAAACTATGGTCACTAGCCACGGTCATCCCCATCTTCAAAAAGGGAGACCCCAGCCTAGTTGAAAATTACAGACCAATCTCTTTATGCTGCGTCACCTGTAAAGTCATCAATCAATTATTAACCAATACATCAACCTCCACTTAGAAGCAAGCAACCTACTCTCTAATAAACAATTTGGTTTCAGAAAAAAACTTTCCTGTAATCTGCAACTCTTACACTGCAAAAACATGGACTACATAACACGATCAGGGCAAAGCAATAGACGCAATTTACATAGACTTCTATAAAGCCTTTGATTCAGTGGTACATGACAAACTACTTCTAAGACTAAAATCTTACGGTATCTCTGGACACCTGCATAACTGGATAGAAGCATTCCTGTCAAACAGACAACAAATGGTCAAAATTTGGAACATCATATCAAATTCTGTACCTGTCAACAGTGGTGCCCCCCAAGGCAGTGTTCTAGGACCAACTCTCTTCATACTCTACATAAATGATCTCTGTGATCATATTAAGAGCAACTGTATTCTCTTCACTGATGATGTAAAGCTATTCAACACCACAGGCAATACTGCTACTCTTCAAAAAGACCTTGACTATGTATCAGAATGGTCAAACAAATGGCAACTTCAAATCTCAACAAATAAATGCTCTGTCCTACATATTGGCAAAAAAAATCAGAAAATAAAATACAGGCTGAATAGTCAAGACCTTGTTGATGATCCAAACTCTGTCAAGGATCTTGGAGTACTCATCTCTAATGACCTAAGGGCTAGAGCCCCTGTAACTACGTAGCCAAAAAGGCATTAAGAGTTGTTAACCTAATCTTATGTAGCTTTTTCTCTGTTAATATTACACTACTAACTAGAGCAGTGATGGCTAACCTATGACACGCGTGTCACTCGTGACACGCCAAGGCACTTTGACTGACATGCCTGTTGGTGTGGGGAAAACCTGCACATTTAGAGGCTGCCTGTGCTCTGCTCCAATCCCTGCTCTCTGCTTGTTGCGTGGAGGCGTGGTGTCACCGCTGCCACAAGATCTTTGCAGCAGAGAACCAGTTTTAACTGCCATAAACTGAGGTTTGTCAGTTTTTATTACCTCAGGAACGCTACAGGAGGAAAGGAGTTCCATGAGGTTCACAGCCCTGTAAGGTGGCCTTCCGATCCCCACATCCTGCACCTGCAGCCCTGAGACCAGGGAGATGAGTTTCACAGCCCTGTGTGATCACCACAGCCCAGTCCGTCATAAACCAAATTATTGATATTTCTTGAAGTGACACATGACCCGAGGAAGGCTACACTTTTTCCCGATTTTTGACACACCAAGCTGAAAAGGTTAGCCATCACTGAACTAGAGCATACAAAACATTTGCTAGACCAATACTCGAAGACAGCTCATCAGTCTGGAGCCCACATTATGTTGGATCTGATATTAACACAGTTGAGAAAGTCCAGCAATATTTCACAAGAAGAGTTCTCCACTCCTCTACTCATTGCAGAATACCTTATGCCACCAAACTCATAATTCTAGACCTAGAAAACTTAGAACTACACTGCCTTTGGTCCAATCTAACTATAGTATATAAAATCATACATTGCAATGTCCTACCTGTCAATGAATACTTCAGCTTCAACCATAACAACAGAAGAGCAAACAATTGATACAAACTCAAGGTTAATCGTACCAAACTTGATTGCAGGAAATACGACTTCAGCAACAGAGTGGTCAATGTCTGGAATACTCTACCTGACTCTGTGGTTTCCTCCACAGACCCCAAAAACTTGTCTACTTTTGACCTCACCCCTTTCCTAAGAGGTCTGTAGGGAGTGTGCATAAGCGCACCAACCGGCCTACTGTCCCTGTCCTATTATTTCTGATTTGTTTTTATTTTTCTTATATTTATCCATGTTGTTAGTGTTTGGGGATTAACCCCTAGCAGAGTATTGCAGCAGTAGTCAAGCCAGGCAGCCAAACGAGAGTGGAAGGGCCCCAGAGTATACACACACTGAACACAAACACTGTTTGTAGTTTAAATAGTTTTTAATCCATTTAGAGTTTAAAGCATTGTCATTCAGTCCATTTGTCATTCACTATATTTCCATCCAGTAAGACTCACTATTACAGTCCAAGTTAAGAGTCCTTACAATATCTTTATCAGCCGATAAAGATATCTTCTCCTCCTCCGGTGCCTCTCTCCAGAGAAACAAACGCTGGATATTCAGCAAGACGCTCAAACAGTAGAACAGTTGAATTCCGCAGTAAATCAGCAAACAGTAGCAGACAGGATCATCTCGGTCACAGGCACAGTACAAACAGTATTCACAGTTAGTCACAGTAAGCTTTCCAGCTTCTAATGCTTCCTTATATTGTAACTTCTAACCGCACCCTTAATGGGCTAATTGCCTGCAACATTGTGCTTAAAGTGATAAGCACTTAAACCATGATATCTAAGTTTTATATATTTATTCACCCAAACCATATTTGGTATCTATGTTATACCTAACATATGTATTCATAACTATGTTTTTACTTATACCTATTATCTTGTAAGCAATTGACAAAAATAAACAAACAAACAAGCAAACAAACAAATAAATAAATAGCATGAATAGAAAATGTGATACCTCATCAGCTTGAAAAGCCCCAAAACACCAAGACATCACTTTCTCCAATTATTTCAATTGTATTTGACAATATTTCCAAAGAGTTTCTTACTTTTGTTATTAGCTGAGAATCTGCAGCTTCTTCTCACCTGGTTAAAGCTCCTGTGCCATACAATTTGATTGTCATTAAGAGTTAATGTTCTGCCTGGTGGAGCTCGGGGTTCCAATGTTCCAACAATGACTCGAGAAAAAGAATTATTGTGAAAAGTAATCCAGTTTGCAACATTAAAACCCGTAATCAGTTCTCTGTTTTCATCAAATGCAATAGTGTCTCCCATACTGTTGTTGAATACAATGCTTTTCAAGAAAGAATTAAACTAGATTTTTTTTTAAAATGAAAGAAATTAACAGCAAAACCTTGAAATCAAATAACTATAGAAAATTATTTCAAGCTGAACTATCCTGTGTTGAAAAATTCAAATGAAGATTGAGGGTGTCTCCAAATCAGTGTTGACTGCTATCTAGACCAGAGTCTGTAGTTTTTTGGCAAGATGTCCAGAATTGGTTTGCCATTACATTCTTTCTAGGAGTGAGAGAGAAGGACTGGCCTAAGGTCGCCAATTGGATTTGTGCCTAATAAGGAGTAGAAGAAACTTCTTCTTTTTGTAGCCCAGTCCGTCACCATCATGCCAAATTAATTATCCTCATATATGTGTCATATTTTATAAAAGGAATATATTTGAGTATCCATTCTGATGTGCATTCAGATTTTGAATTCACATCTTAAATACTGCTTTTCAAATTCCATGACAAAGTGGTCTGTACTCATTGAACACAGGGATCATATACAATTCATAACCCAGCTCGAACTTTAGAAGAAATTTTGTCTTTTCTCCCTTCTGATCTTCCAAAATAACACAAAATTAAAGCTTAATATATTATTCTTTCCCACTTACACAACATCACTTCATAGTCTGCCATTTTCTCCGTAGCTCTTAGAATTCAAAACAAATTAACATGCAAAAGTACAGCTCTTAGGAAAAGCAATAGTCATCTTTGGATAATGGCTGTGACCCAGTAAATTCTGTAGAATAGAACATTTGCTCTTAAACCAAAGATAACCTTTTAAATTGTTAAGTATAATGTATTAATTATAATTATATCTACTAATGTAAAAATATTATAACTACTAATGTGAAAATTTCATTTTCTTCAAGAGAAAAATTTTTATCCAAAAAAAATTGATTGGTGAAGCAATGCTGTATAACAACATTCTAAGAAGCTCTATATGTAACATCATACTTACTACATGATGGTGCAAATAAACAAACAATATATTAGAAATAAAACAAAATACCTGCCAAGGTCGTAAATCCTGAAATATTATTTCTTCTGCTCCTATTGCATTTCTCCATCTGGATCTTGATTTGAGTAGGACATGCAACGTATGTACCATAACATGGACCGCATTGTAAATGTTGTAACTGTGTCCACTCATGCTCATTTGAAATAATATACTCAGCAGACTCTCTAAATTCTCATTCCCAGTGCACAATACCTTGTTATCTTCATTTATACCAGAAATGTGTAATGGGCAGTCAAATGCCTGCTCCCAAAAATTCTGAATGAAATTGTCTTCTTTTACCCAAGATGGCCTTACAGTGTGAAGAAATTCTTGGAATCCAGGGGGCGTCATTGAGCGAACTGCAAATGATAGAGCACCATGGAAACTCTGAATGTCCCAAAGTCTCTGAATAGACAGGGATTCAAAATTCCAATGACATGTAATAATCCATACTTTACCCAAAGGTTGCAGTGAAGTCCAAGATGCTACAAGGATGATCAATCTCAGATTTTGCATGGCTGGAGGTAGGGCATAGATTACACACACTTTAACTTTATCATCCATAAAGAGTTGATCATATCTTAACTCCATTGTAATCAAGTGTATATATTCATCTATATATGCCTTTGGTGGTGTTCTAAGTAGGAAAGCATAACAAATGCTGTTTTGGAGAAGCAATGGTTCCATTTTCTTCAAAAACATGTCCCCATAGTCATCATCTGCAGCCATGATCCCAATCCATATCCATCCAAAATGCTGAAGTAATTGAATAATCCCAATGTATTGATGCATTTCATTTGGAACCATTTGGTATAAGGATGGAAATATATTTTTTTCATCATGCAATGGAGTAAACGTCCCGAAGGTCAGCTGAAAGGCATTATATAACAAATATATAAACCATTATGTAAGATTAAGAAATGGGATTCATCTTTATCATAAATAAGGCAAAAAATCAGAATTGAAGGGTTACTTGAAATTATATAGTAAGTATATGTATTTGCAATATTGCATCAGTTACAATGTTTGTCTGTGTTTCTGAGCCCGTTTTAACTGATTGTGGAAACACTTCAAACATAGCACAAGATCAAAACCCAAGCAAATATGATCTGCAAAAGTATTTTAGTTTTACTAGCTGAAGGGAGTTGAGCAGCATGTAGGAAAGACAGAATAATTTCTGTAGTCACCCAACCACTCTGATACTCAAAGCCAACAGTAGTTTGCTAATCTTCCATATTTGGGGGAAACTGCAAAGAATTCTTGGTTATTAACTATTTAATCATCTCTACAGTTTATTCGTGTTCACACTAATTAAATGCACAACACAGAAAATTGACTCAGCATTCATCTTTCCAAGGTCGGTAAAATGAGGACCCAGATTGTTGGGGGCAATAGGCTGATTATGTAAAATGCTTAGAGAGGGTGGTAAAGCCCTGAGAAACGGTAGATAAGTCTAAATGCTTTTGATATTCTCCTAGATTTTGCCCCTGGGAATTTCAGTTCTGAAAAGGAGCCTAAATGTACTTTAAGAATGGAAGGAATTAAACAAACTTAAGATTTCCAGTGAGCCACCTGAAGGATCTACCTGTGGAATCTTGTAATTGGAAAGAACAGTAGCCATGGTGAATGAAGTCTCTGTCAAACGTCCTCCAATGGCAGCAATAAATGTTTTCTTTAAATCATAGGTAAAGTTGGGAACAAACTTCTGCTGTGTAGAAAGTAAGCTCAAGGTTGCTTTATAAGTTATCTTCGCAGGAAAGTAATTGTTCACAATGTGGAAACCCAGTGTGATGTTTGGTAAGAGCTCAGGGTTCTTATTGATCTCCTTGACAGCAAACACCAAAGCAAGGATATCTTGATATACATTTGGCACATAACTGAAATAAAAATTATCAATGTAATTTAATAACATTAAAAGCAGAGGTGGCATTCAGCAGGTTCTGACCAGTTTTGGAGAACCGAGAGCGGAAATTTTGAATAATTAGGGGAACAGGCAAATATCACCTCTGACTGGAGATTTTACAGTATCCTTCCACTGCCATGCCCATCAAGGCATGCCCACAGAACTGGCAGTAAAAAAAAATTGAATCCCGTCACTGATTAAAAGTATATCCTATACTCCTATCCTACACAAATAATACTGTAAGCTATTGGAGAGCTGCAGAAAATGGCACGCTGAGCAGCAGGATTTTTTTTTCTCCCTGACAACCAACAAGTGATTTGGCTGCCAAAGCCAATTCTTTATCAATGCACTCCCCAGATTTTAAAGGGTGCATCTAAATGCTACTCTGCTGAGAAAGCTTGGCTATTAGAGAAACTTGGACTGTAATAAATCAAAACAACAATAAATGAACATCTTGGATATTATATGTTACCTATAATACTCCCAAAAAGAGATATAAAGGACTCAGCTGTTTTAAACATTAAAGACTTATTGGAAAATTTTGTAAAAACAATGTTTGCCAACTTATAAGTTTTAAATGAAAAATTAGATAAAGTGTTTGATAAATTCCTAATCGTTTACATCAGGGAGACATCCAGAATAGAGCCATTACATGCAGCCAGAAGGCAGCTGTCAAGAGATATTGTATCCCAATTTTCAGGAAAATTTACCTTTAAAAAGTGCTATGGATCTATCTTCAATGGAGACCCACATTCTTTCGGAGTGGGAATAATTGTTTGAAAAGATTCCAGTTTTAATTTTAAAGAAAAATAAAGAGGATAAACTGGAAGGAGTTGTTTTTATTATTAAGAATCAATTGATGACAGATCATTGGTAGTAGTTTTAGTGGGTTGCTGAGATATTAGAACCCATTTGTGAATTTTTTTCAAGTAAAATAGAATAATAGATTGTTGACAGAGGACTTTGAAATTTGAAGGTTGTTGTTGGGATTACCTGTTAACTCATTTATATACAGTAGGTATATTGTAGCTGAAATTGGTTGGTTGATAATACAATGCTATATTTTCAATATTTTTAATGTTATCTATTAACAATGTAAATATAGATTCATAAGTTTATAAATTGTGTATTAGTTTTCCAAGCTGGAAAACATTATTATTGATGAAAAATATCTACCAGTATTCAATTGGGAGGGGGACATTTTATCTGCATGTTTAATATTATGCCTTATAAACCCTTTTCCTTTGTTTTTGTTTTTATATTCTTTTTTCTTCCTTTTTATTTAATTTTGACTTGGGAAACAAATAAAAAAAGAATGTGTGTTTGTGTGTGTGTGTGTGTGTGTGTGTGTGTGTGTGTGTGTGTATACATATATATCTGAATGTCATGAATTTACTCCTTATCAGAGTAATACTAGACATTGGATGATAATTAAAAAAGAAAGGTTTCAAATGACACTTCACTTTATACTCTTCAACAAAAGATATTTTGTAGTTAGATAGGAACACTGCTATTATTAGCCTGGTTTATAAACACATTGTCATAAACAATTACAAATGTTTTATGAATCACAGAGTAAACATCAGAAGAATCATATATGGATTTGGTGCAGTGTGTGAAGGCAGATGGAGTTTTCTACTCAGTAGTCAATTTTTGTACACTTCAGAAAAAGAGAGAACTAATTAATTGAAATTTTCCAATGGCGTTATGTGTATGAAAATTTTAAAACATTTATCACTATAATTCTGGTGCTTCTTTCCTCCCCACCCCAATTATTTTGCACTTGCTAGTCTGAAGAAAATAAAGCAGAATTCCTTACATTGCTTCATTGATCAATGTCCGAGAGGGATCTTCAGTGAAGGAGGGGCTGCTGTGAAAGAAAAAGGCTTGAGAGGTAACCATCCCCAAAATAACATTTCCTGGCTGAGCAAATTGATGGGGTATAGGAAGAGGGTCATCAGGTATACTACAATTGATAGCATATGTTTTGCATGTAATACAGAACAGGAATACAAACAGGATCATTCTTGTCACCCCCCACCCTATTATTGACAATTGTTCCTATTCAGAAAAATATCCCATCTCTAGGACAAACCGCATGGCATCATTTTTCATTTTCCTTACATATATGGCCTCTAAAACATTTGCAACCTTGCTGGAATATTTTCTTCAAACAGATTTCTCAGGGTATATCCTCCCATTTATGAACATTGGAATAAGAAATAGGAAAGGGGAAAAGGAAAAGAGAAAGAAAAAAGTCCAGAAACTATTAAGAATGAAATAGAGATAAAATAGCTTGGAACATGAAATGAAGATTAGAATAGAAATGCTTCAAATGA